ATAGAAAAGTAGTCTATAAATATAACTTTTAATGGTTTAAAGTATTGAGGGTGGGTGCGGTCGCATGCGACCGCTTGGGATTTGACGGACGTATACAACTGTATGGGAATTTTAAGAGGATTGAGAGGTTAAATTGATTTAAATTGAATTAATTAAATTAAATTATTATATTAGTCAAGATACTCGCGCACACATATACAACCGTATATAATAGAAAGAGACAAAGAGGAAGAAAGGGAGGGTATCTCACCTTCTCTCTCTCTCTCTCTCTCTCTCTGAGGGCTTAACACTTTTGTCATACGTGACGACTTCTGCCTATCACAGTCAGCCTACCTCGTCAGCGGAAAGTGCTGTATCTGCATCCGATGAGGGTACCTTGAGAAGTGCAGGTGTACGATTCCACGTGTCCGCCGCTACATCAAGACATCTACGTTTTCGTGGTGCAGGCGATGGAATAAAAGTACTTTTCCGCTTCCTGTTGCGGTTTCTTAGTCGATCCGGATTCATCCTCGAAAAGAAGATCAAGCATTAGATTTTTTAACTATAAAGCTCATATTCACTCAAGTCAGATTCTCTAGAATTTTTTTTTTATTTTGAGGACTGTGGGATGACCTAATCTTGATCTTGAGGTGTTAAGTTTCTTAATATTTCTGTTTAATATTTAGTTAAGTTTTCTGTTATTATATTTTTATTTCCTTTTGTGAAGAAAATGTATAATTAAAATTAATAATGATAAGAGTTGTATCATAATATAAAGGAATTTATCTCATTAACGAGGACAAGATACTGTCCAATCAAATGGACAAGCACCCAATTAAATTTAGGGTTAGGAAGTTTTTTTTTTGCAAGTGAGGCGTCAGCGTTTCGTTCACACCTCTGCCTTTCCAGATACCGGTGCAAAAATTCAAGTATGCAAAAATAAGATATAATAAAATTAATGAAATTTTACCTAGTGAGTGATGCACATGATCACTTACGGACACACTTGGCCCTAACTGAGGCGCAAATGGCCACAAGGACGCACGTGGCCCTCACTGAGGCGCACATGACCACAAGGACGCATGTGGACCTTACTGAGGGCACAGCCACGGACGCACATGGCCCTTATTAGGGGCACACTTGACCACAACGACACTTGGCCCTTACTGAGGCACACATAGCCACAAGGACGCACGTGGCCCTTACTGAGGCGCACATGTCCACGAGGACGCACTTGACCCTCATTAGGGGCACACATGGCCACAAGGTCACACTTGGCCCTCACTATAGGTACACATGGCCACAATGACACACTTGGCCCTTACTAGAGGCGCACATTGCCACAAGGATTCACTTGGCCCTTACTGAGGCGCACATGGCTATACTTCGCTCTTACTAGGGTTACACATGGCCACATGGACACACTTGGCCCTCACTAGAGGCACACATGTCCACAAGGACACTTGGCCCTTACTAGAGGCGCACATGGGCACAAAGACACACTTGGCCCATACTAGAGTTGCACATGGCCACAAGGACACACTTGGTCCTTATTAGATATAATTCCCTTATGACATACTTGACACTAACAAAAATATTTACAAAACTTAATAAACTACTAGTACTTCTCTACCGACTGATAAGTATGATAAGTAATACAAAATACAATCGCAGTAGAACACTATTGAGGAGTAGCCTCAACCAAGCGCTCCACATGATATGCACCTTAGTATATCGCTTCTTCGGAATGGAATTGTTGAAGAGTTGCCTCAACCAAATGCCATTTCTTAAAAGTGTAAAAAATGTAGGTAACAACAAAGACTTAGCTAATACAAAATACACCGCAGCAAAACGCTATTGAGGAGTAGCCTCAACCAAGTTTTTCACGTGCGATGCATTTCAGTATATCGCTTGTTCGAAACGGAATAGTCGAAAGTTGCCTCGCCCAAATGCCATTTCGACAAGAGTTAAAGGTGTACGTAAGTACCTATATCTACTAACAAATGCTAATATCCCCGCAGCGAAGACTATCAAGGAGTCGCCTTGACCAAATGTTCACTTGCGAGTCAAAATACTATTTCTATCAACTACTAGTAATTCAAATCGATAGCGTGGCTTTACAATGTAACACTAGCCGGGTACATTATCGGAGAGTTGCCCCGACCAAAATGACCCCAGACCGTGTACACTGTGCCACGAAATCCAAACTAACATTTCTATATTTGTCGCAGAAAGCGTTCAATCAATTTATCATGTATGTCATAAGGGCCACAAGCATTGAAATGTAAAAAAAAATTGTTCACACCTTCAAACAATATGGGCAGCAGAGAAACATGTGGGATGTTTCTCTGAGATTTTATGAATTAAACTCAAGGGTAATAGAAAAACTAACTTATTGGATTCGTGTCGTCCTTAATTCACATTCTGAGATAAATATTATAATAACGTAGCTGGTACTTTCAACTTAAATTATAATAAAGAATTATATGAATAATTTAAATAAAACTATTTTGGCGAACAATTTATCTCGTGACTAGAAGCCACCGCTACTCCAACAGGAATGATTCTCCGACCGCTGGCTGAATGTCCAAGCAGTCCAAACGTTTCCCCTATCACTTTTCTTAACTTGCTTCTGATTGGTGTGTGTAGGAATTGTCAGTTTCAAACCAACCAATCAGAGACAAGCGGAATTACTACCAATTTGACCGGAAATACGTATTCATTTTAGCAACTTATTATTGAAAAATACATTGAATCATGACAGTAATATATTGTGAAAATTATTTACTTACTGTTTAAACTTTTTGTTTACATTGCTTAAATTAATATGTAAAATACTATCCAAAGTGTAGCTGCCAAAACTGCTCTTGGAATAAAATTATCGTTTATGGATAACTTAAATAGTACTAAATACAACTATTAAAAGCTAAACAGCAACGAATTTATGAGAATTCGAAAAACGATATTCTAGAAAAAATTTGAAAGAGGTATATATTCACTATTCACTATTCCTAAAAATAACTCCTTAATAAGCATATTCCACACCTTCTGATCCTATCCGATCCGATCCTAATTATCGGATGAAATCGGATAATGTATTGTGCAACAGTTCCTAATTTTATTATTATTATTACAAAATCGGAGAATCAGATGTTCCGACCGTCCTTTTTCTAAAATCGGATCCTAAATCGGACGATGTATAGAACCATTCGTCCGATAAAACGACACAGTCACACACGACCAGCGTCCCAGTTCAGACGTGTACCTACTCGCGCGCATTGAAATGTCATCGGACGGGGAAAGCGACTCGGTGTCAGACCGCGAATATTTTGTTTTATTTTTGGAGTGTTACAAATAATGTAGATGCTTATGGGACACTTCGGCAGCAGATTACTCAAATAGAGACTTGAGAACTAAGTCCTATGAAAGACTTTTAAGTTTTCAAAAAAATTTGCAAAAATGCAACATGCTGATATGAAAAAAAAATTGATAATTTAAGAACAACGTTCGAACGTGAATCGAAAAAGATGAGTATTTTTTCCAAACTGGCGAGGCTAATGTTTAGGTACTCTTCACGCGTAATGTCCAAAGCTTTGGTACTACGAATACCTTTTTCTTGATGATCTTTCACAAAGAACTGGTCAGGATAGCTTGGATGATGTTGCTGGAAGTAGTGGAAGTGTAAGTTCATTTTGAATATAACGCACAGTTTTTTTTTTTAGAAAATTATTATTTTTTATTGGGGTACAACCGACAACATTTGCTCTTGAAATGAAACTACGCCTTCATTCTTAAAATAATTTTTAAATGATTGTCGCACTTCAGTTCCTTGCTCATTGCGCTGATTTTTAAGTGGACGAAGCTATACTAAAGGATGTGTTTCACGCCATTCTACGTTTCTTACAGTTGTCTTTTACGCCATTGTGCTACTTTAAATGATTCAGATTCATCTTCAATATCAAGAGATGTTATATTAATGTATTTTTTACTATTTGTTGATAAATAATTATGTAATGCACAACTAGCTAAGACAACTGTGTTCACGTTATCCATATCTATAAAAATATCACGACGAAATATTCTAAATCTAGAGGATAGAATGCCGAATGCATTTTCCACCACCCTTCTAACTCTTGAGAGTTATAATTAAATATTCGCTTATCGTGAGCTATGTTCTTTAGAGGAAATGGTTTCATAATGTTTTTATCAAGCGCAAATGCAATGTCTCCTACAAAAACGTAAGTTGCAGTGATTTTTGAATTTGTTAACGTTGACGGACTTGGTAAATTTAACCCATCTTCCATCAACTTCTAATAGAATTTAGTCTTTTGCAGCACAGATCTATCTGAAACACATCCGTTTGTACCCACGTGAATGTATATAAATTCATAATTAGCGTTTACTACTGCTAACAGAATAATACAAAAAATTCTTATAATTATGAAAACGTGATCTACTGTCTGGCGGCTTTTTAATTGCAATGTGTTTTCAGTCGATTGCGCCTACGCAATAATTGAAATTCCATTTGCTTTCAAAGTCCGAGCTTACTTCTATCCATTCCTCTGTCGTCGATGGCATCTGAAATTACTTTCATTTTATTCTATTTGCAGATTACTGGGAATGAAACACAAAAAAAGATGGTTTCGCAGTTCCAACCACTAAAATAAAGAAAAAAAACAGGACCTCTATACGAAGTAGTCTCAAATTTTAGATCAGGCTCAAAAATATTAACAGGTAGTAAAGATAATGACTGGGAAGTAATCGGGAAATCAATTGGACTTCAACTCAAAGTTCTAACTGAAGAACAATCAGCCATTGCGCATAAAATAATATCAGATGCTCTCTTGCCCAAATGAAAAAACTAACAATAAATTCTCAAATAACTTTGGAACCTACATATCTACACTCTCCATCTCCACAACCGCACTTACCGCACAAGTCACCATCCCATCAGTACACAATCACTCCATCACCTTCTCCATCTCCACAACCGCACCAGTCATTATCCCATCGGTACACAATCACTCCATCTCCACAACCGCACCAGTCGTATCCCATCGGTACACAATCACTCCATCACCTTCTCCATCTCCACAACCGTACCAGTCGTCATCCCATCGGTACACAATCACTTCATCACCTTCTCCATCTCCACAACCGCACCAGTCATCATCACATCGGTACAAAATTACTCCATCATCTTCTCCATCTCCACAACCGTACCAGTCATCATCCCATTGGTACACAATCATTCCATCATCCTCTCATTCTTCACAGGCGCACGATCCATTTTCCACAATTCAATCACACACTTCTTCATATCAAACATCGACAGTTACTAGTAGTGATTCATACCATATTTCTTCAAATTCATTGCCATTGTGTAATGCAACAGAAACAGTTATTAACGAAGAATGCACACATTCTTTGGAACCTCCAATAATTAGCATTCCATCACCGCCCCATTCCTCAACATCTAATTACATGCAGGGAGTTTTAAAAGACTTTATTATTTTTACTAAAATATAAGTACTACAATTATTCTAAGCACAATGTAATAATTATGATTAATAAAAAAGTAACAATAGTAAATAAATACAAATAATTACGTAAAAAAAATTCTTTAAGCATTTATATATTGCCATACAGGTTTCTGGTATTATTTGTGAGAGTAACTGAGTAGATATAACAGTATTGAACATCAAGTCAGTATAGCTGCAACCAGAAGAAAGGAATCTCAAAGTCGCTATTAATCTTTCTTCAACACTTACTGCTTCTCGCAGAATAGTATTTTGCTTTTGGATAAATGGGCGTACTATACTCAGTAATTGTGAAAAACACTCTTCATTCATCCTTAAATACGTCCGAAAATATTTAGACCTTAAAACCTTAATCAATTTTAGAGGTGTAAACCTTTTTCTCTGTTTGTAAATTTCTTCAGCCCATAAGCTTCTCTTTTTCCTCCTTTTTCGTGTATCCACAACGGTACTTGTTATTGCTACTCCCACTATAATTCTTTGTAGTTTAGACAACATAGGAGCCATGTGAATCACGTCTGCACAGAGTCATCGCTAAAAGCCGATCTGATTTTAAGGAAGCACATCGGAAAGTGTGTAGAGAATGACTCCGATTTAGGATTTCCGACAAATAGGATAGGATCAGAAGGTGTGGATCATGCTATAGTTTTTAAAGTAAATATTTGCTTTAAAAATAAACCGTAAAATATGCAAGTAATAAAAATATGAGTAAAATCAGAAAACCGAAATCCTTCATTGCTTAATTCTTTATAATTAAAAATAAAATATTAATTTATAAATTATCTTGTCTGAAACTTTTAATGATTATGTTAATAATTGTATAATATCAAATAAATACCATAAAATAAGTAACATATAAAAGTAATAATATAGTGATGCCTAAAATCATCTATATTACATACATTTTTTTACAAAAAATAACTTTTAGGTTTATAGTATTGATATCGTTAATTCCATACAAAAGCTACTTGTTGGAATTGAAGTTCCTTCATCCTTTTATAATAAGAGGGGAATGCCACTCTTCCGTTCATTGTTTAACAATTTATCACTGTTCAGGTTTTTCAGGTTCAGGTCCAGATTTTTGCCTCCTTGATCTATCTGAAACACATCCGTTTGTACCCACGTGAATGTATATAAATCAGGGTGGTTTTGGGGCTGCCCCGCTTATGCAGTGCCTCAGGCATGTTTGCGGAGGCGCGCACTGCCTGTTTTCACGCGACCATGCGTAAGCGGTGCTCGTCATTGGTGCGCAGGGTGCGGGCCAGCTCCGGTATTATTCTGAAAATGATAGGAGACAGACTGGACTGTCCTATCTTCCAGCATTGCTGCGACAAACATGTCCCAGTAATTGTGGGAGTGAGAAGATACTAAATAATAATTATGTGTTAGTTATAATTGTGTTTATATGTTATGTTATGTATGTTAGTTATTGTATTTTCATGACATGTTATTATTCTTTATTATCAATTAATTAATGTTTTTAAATCAATCAATTTTAATGATATGGATCTTATGTTATCTGAAATAAATAAATAAAAAAAATTAAGCTGCTATTTTACGCTGATATTCTGTTAGAGCGTGGTCCTACTCCCGCCCATTCCTACTACAACCAAAATGTAGGTGAAGCGTGGCCCTACCGCATAAATATTTAAAATAATTATGCACCAACTTTAAATCTGCGTTCACAGCACAATTAAGAAAGATAAAATTAGTTTTATCCTATGTTTCATATTCGCATAAATTGAAATATTTGCATAGTTCATATTGAAAATGCGTTGTAAAAAGATTATCGAAAATTTATTCCACAATTTTCCTTCAATTATTCATTACCACTTTAATCGATTGACAGTGAATCCAATCGCGAGCTGTAATTAACAATCAATTGTGGAACCGATTGGCATACCATCGTTCGTTAATAAATAACATGGAGTTGTAAAACAGGTTCTTCAAACCCTGTTTTACAATTCCATGTTATTTTAACCTCACAGTGGTTGTGTGGAATACAATAGTAATCCAATGTAAAATAATCTCAAATTTAAGTATTTCTGAAACCAAATGATTAGAAATAAATATCAAAACTGATTTGTGATCTAACTTTGAAATTAATGTGATACTTTCATATATTAATATGTAAGCTTTTTTTAAACTATGATTAAAAAAGGACGTATAAGAAGGTTTTGTTTATTAAATATGATTAACGGTCGACTAAATGTTACCCTGTTCATATTTAAAATAAAATTAAAATACATTTTAGTTGATAGTTTGACGCTTTCTTCCTATTTTAACTTGGACTACATACGTAATCCACGCGACCATTTACGTTTTTTTATAAAGCGCGACCACTGCAGAGTTAAATGATTATAAATTACGGCATTATAATTCAGATTTGATGTTTAATAACTACTAGTATAAAAGCCGAGATAATGCAGGAACTATGCGCGGTTCAGGTCCAGATTTTTCCCGTGCTGTGTATATGGTGAATATACACAGCACGGCAAAAATCTGGACCTGAACCTGAAAAACCTGAACAGTGATAAATTGTTAAACAATGAACGGAAGAGTGGCATTCCCCTCTTATTATAAAAGGGTGAAGGAACTTCAATTCCAACAAGTAGCTTTTGTATGGAATTAACGATATCAATACTATAAACCTAAAAGTTATTTTTTGTAAAAAAATGTATGTAATATAGATGATTTTAGGCATCACTATATTATTACTTTTATATGTTACTTATTTTATGGTATTTATTTGATATTATACAATTATTAACATAATCATTAAAAGTTTCAGACAAGCATGTATTTAAAAATTAATATTTTATTTTTAATTATAAAGAATTAAGCAATAAAGGATTTCGGTTTTCTGATTTTACTCATATTTTTATTACTTGCATATTTTACGGTTTATTTTTAAGCAAATATTTACTTTAAAAACTATAGCATGATAATGATTTCTTAAATTTACGCGAACTCTACACATTGAATAAAACTATTATTTACGGATTTTATCGCGTTTAATTACTTTAATTTATTTTTATTATTATCCCGACGTTTCGGGTGCTTTACAGCGCCCCCGTTGTCAATGTTAGTCCGGCTACCTTCAGTTTTTTAATATTAATTTTTGGTCCGATTTACGCAAAACGAGTTTATAGTATGAACTATAGCATGATCCACACCTTCTGATCCTATCCTATTTGTCGGAAATCCTAAATCGGAGTCATTATCTACACACTTTCCGATGTGCTTCCTTAAAATCAGATCGGCTTTTAGCGATGACTCTGTGCAGACGTGATTCACATGGCTCCTATGTTGTCTAAACTACAAAGGATTATAGTGGGAGTAGCAATAACAAGTACCGTTGTGGATACACGAAAAAGGAGGAAAAAGAGAAGCTTATGGGCTGAAGAAATTTACAAACAGAGAAAAAGGTTTACACCTCTAAAATTGATTAAGGTTTTAAGGTCTAAATATTTTCGGACGTATTTAAGGATGAACGAAGAGTGTTTTTCTCAATTACTGAGTATAGTACGCCCATTTATCCAAAAGCAAAATACTATTCTGCGAGAAGCAGTAAGTGCTGAAGAAAGATTAATAGCGACTTTGAGATTCCTTTCTTCTAGTTGCAGCTATACTGACTTGATGTTCAATACTGTTATATCTCCTCAGTTACTCTCACAAATAATACCAGAAACTTGTATGGCAATATATAAATGCTTAAAGAATTTTTTTTTACATAATTATTTGTATTTATTTACTATTGTTACTTTTTTATTAATCATAATTATTATATTGTGCTTAGAATAATTGTAGTACTTATATTTTAGTAAAAATAATAAAGTCTTTTAAAACTCCCTGCATGTAATTAGATGTTGAGGAATGGGGCGGTGATGGAATGCTAATTACTGGAGGTTCCAAAGAATGTGTGCATTCTTCGTTAATAACTGTTTCTGTTGCATTACACAATGGCAATGAATTTGAAGAAATATGGTATGAATCACTACTAGTAACTGTCGATGTTTGATATGAAGAAGTGTGTGATTGAATTGTGGAAAATGGATCGTGCGCCTGTGAAGAATGAGAGGATGATGGAATGATTGTGTACCAATGGGATGATGACTGGTACGGTTGTGGAGATGGAGAAGATGATGGAGTAATTTTGTACCGATGTGATGATGACTAGTGCGGTTGTGGAGATGGAGGTGATGAAGTGATTGTGTACCGATGGGATGACGACTGGTACGGTTGTGGAGATGGAGAAGGTGATGGAGTGATTGTGTACCGATGGGATAATGACTGGTGCAGTTGTGGAGATGGAGTGATTGTGTACCGATGGGATAATGACTGGTGCAGTTGTGGAGATGGAGAAGGTGATGGAGTGATTGTGTACTGATGGGATGGTGACTTGTACGGTAAGTGCGGTTATGAAGATGGAGAGTGTAGATATGTAGGTTCCAAAGTTATTTGAGAATTTATTGTTAGTTTTTTCATTTGGGCAAGAGAGCATCTGATATAATTTTCGCGCAATGGCTGATTGTTCTTCAGTTAGAACTTTGAGTTGAAGTCCAATTGATTTCCCGATTACTTCCCAGTCATTATCTTTACTACCTGTTAATATTTTTGAGCCTGATCTAAAATTTGAGACTACTTCGTATAGAGGTCCTGTTTTTTTTCTTTATTTTAGTGGTTGGAACTGCGAAACCATCTTTTTTTGTGTT